CTTGTTTTTGGCCCTGCCTATAGATATGGGATATGGTGTACCAGGATATATGAAAGAATACAACTAGCCTCTAGAAAAATTCCACCAAAATATTGTGACGAATATGACCATTTACAGGCAAAGGTTTAGTAACACACGTTCCCGCGACACGAACAGACGCGGAAGTCTACTGCTAGCCAGCGGTTCGCCAAACACACATTCCCGTGGCAACGTATAATACACGAACTGTTGGAGATGGTGATCTATATTCGGATCGCCTGGAAGGTAGTTCAGTTCGGTCCTAGTTCATTCGAGAGAAAGTCTATAAGGCACTGATCAGCTCAGTAATGACCTACGCTTGTCCCGCCTGGGAATAAGCGGCAGACACCTACCTCCTAAAATTGCAGCGCATGCAAAACAAGGTTTTGCCCACCATTGAAAATTTTCCAAAGTGCACACCAATCAGCGATTTGCACACGGCTTTCAACTTTCTTTATGTATACGATTATATAACATAATTGAGCATGCAACAATCAGAATCCATACAAAATCATGATAATGAACATGTTCGCCTTATAGGAAAATGTGAAGCCAGACACAGAAAATATAAGAGGCTTAAACTTGGCGGTGGTCAAGCTTATGACCGTTCAAATGACTAAGTTTTCGTTGTAGCATAAGATCTATAAGTTAGGAATGATCTGCTCTGTAAAGCCTGTACTGACAGAGGACTTGTGTGTAAAGCAAGAGGAAGAATTTTCGAATATATTATATGTGCGAAATATACACTAGACGAAAGGTCGAGTGTATTCATAGGAGACAGACCCGTCTTCTCGCCAGAGAGGATGTTACATAAGGACTATTACCGCAAGAGTTCAGTTGGAAAAGAAAAGAAAAGAAAAGAAAAGAAAATCTTTGGTCGTGGGCCTCAAGGGGTCTGACGCCAAGACGAACTGATTGGCGGAACCCCGCCAGTCGTAAACTAACTCTGACTCTGACTATGACTTGAGAGAAAGTTCAATCATTCGGTATTCGTAAGAGAGTTCAGTGTTCAGCCGAGGAGTGTTAACTAGCGGACAGCTTAAGCTGAAGAAGTGACCGACTCGTGAACCAGAAACCAAGCCACTCGTTCAGAAAAAGAGACACTCGTAGTCCAGCAAGGAATGGAGCGAATCTTAGACAGTCATTAATTATGAGCTGTTATAATTTATTGTACTTGTAAAGAAGGAGCCAATAAATCCAATCATCCAATCCAGAACCCGCCATTATTAGTCACGTAACCCCTTCATACTTGGCAATATATATCTTGTGGTCTTCAGAGTGACTATACAGATCATTCTGGTACACGGGTACCAAAGTTTCAGGGGATACACTGTCTCCGTCTTCAGGACAGAAGTGAGAAACGTGGAAAATGGCAAGTTATATAAAAGTAAGGGAATAGTAAGGAGTCATAGAAGGCAGGACTCTTCCGCTGAATTCTGCGCAAGGGGTGGCCTGACTACCATGATTTGAAATCAAAGAGATTTTATATTGTGGCAAGTATGCACCCTACAAGGAAATACGGCTTAAGCCATAAAGTTTCCGACTTGTATGTGAGGCATGACTGATTCGAATCTCGATAGGACATTGATTACCCTAAGCGAGGTTGTTCGTAGTCTTTTTCAGTTCCTGTAAGTAAATGCCAGAATGGTACTTCGGATTTGGCCATGATCTTCCCTTTTCAACTCCTTCCCAACGTCAGTTCACTAACCATTCACACTTCAAATTCTGAACTGCTGACACATTAACAATATAAATCGCGAATAGGTATATGTGGGGAAACATCCGGCAGAAGATGAAAATTCAACCTGCACGTTACAGAGAGATCTGGATCCAGCCGTAACTATTTTGGAGTTGTTCTGCTCAAATATTGACTGAGGTTGTTTGTAGTTTTCCTCAGTCCCTCCATGCAAATGTTGAAAGAATGCCTAAAGCTAGACCACGGATGTTTCCTTTCACATCCATGCCGATAATTTTTACTAATCATTCTACCATTCAATGTGTTCTATTCTGAGCGACTGACAGCATTACTACATGAGCCACAAATGCATGAAGACATGCATCTTAAGATGGAAATTTCTGTGATGTGCATGGAAACTCTAAGAATCCTGCAGCTGAAGAAGAATCCATCAGGGTGTGTGTTTTGTGACCAAGGCACAGAATGACAAACGGTTATTCGATAAGTGTCCATGCTATGAATAAAATAAACTCACTGGAAGTGAGTAAGAATAATCGCTGACCATTCAGAGGAAAGCCACTAAAGTTTTGTGCTGTGGAACAACCATAACATTCACACGGTAAACACCTGAACAAAACATACACCTGTTACTTCAATTTCTTTATCCTATAACAGATCCATACAAGAGTATTGTGGCGTATACACCTATTTTTAAGCAGTGACTCTGTAAACAGCGGCCACTCTAGGCAACGCCCGCAACATACACATATGCAACAATAGAAGAACTGGGTTAATACGTTCCTAAGCAACGGATCGGTAAACATGTTTTGCTGAAAGGGTGTTTTATATTAGGTCCGTGCAAAGTGCTTATAAAGAAGTTGTTGAATGACGATCCAGTTCAGTTGAGTGAAATGACGCGAAATAGCTGGAGGGAGTTAGTGAACTGGAAGTCAACTGGAAGTTAGTTTGTGAAGAGAAAACTAGGAAGTTGTTGTGAGATGGCCGCCAGCCTGGGAGAGAGAGAACTGGAGTTCAGTCGTTGTGAACCGCTGATATTAGGAGCTGGTAGCTGAGCGAAGGGGATAGTTTGGGAACACAGAGTAAAGGGAACGTCCGCCGTCTGAAGACGTTACCAGGAAGCGGCTAGTGGAAAGTGCAATTGGTTAAGAGTGAACTGTAAATTGTAGTCACGATTTCTGTCTATAAGTGGTCAATAAATGGAGTCACTAATCCAAACCCCGTCTATAGTCACTCATAGATTTGACATTATATAATACACATATGCAGTGCTGTAATCTGTTCAGTTCATTTCAAGACATTTCTATTTCATTTTTTATCAGCCAAGGTTTTGGACAGTTTTAGAAATGTGAACGCAGTTTTGACCGCCTGTGTGGTCTAGTGGTCAGCGCTCCTGGTTAGAGACCCAGAGGTGTGGGTTCGATTCCCGGTACTGCCAGATTTTTTCTGAGAAGTAGTTGGCCTGGAACGGGGTCTACTCAGCCTCGTGATGATAATTGAGGAGCCATTTCAAGGAAATAGCGGCTCCGGTCTAGAAAACCGAAATTAACGGCCGTGGAGATTCGTTGCGCTGACTACGCAACACCCTCTCTCCGTAAAAGTTGGCACTAAATTTCGCCGCTAAGCGGCGGTCGATCGGTCGGTATGATTCGCTTGCGAACTAAAATCACAAAATTTGTTTTGTTTTTTGAACGCAGTTTTAATTAAATGCCGTCATGTAGTTCAGGCCGTGAGCGGATATGGGGATGTTTTAAATCGGGTACGTTAAAGGTTAAACATATTTGTAACAACCAATCCAGGATCGTCTCAGTGGTTTAACGGTTAGTACACAAGACGAATACTCAGAGAGTTGATTTCAGCCAACTGAGCAAGAAGATAAATAACAGCGGTGGGTATCGGAACTAAAATAATGTAACCTCTTCCCGTTTGGTTTTGGAACTTGGCCTCTCTCGTTAGAGGAAGAACACACACTGAAAATGTTTAGAACGGATGCTGGAGAGAATGCTTGGACCTGAGAGGGAGGAAGCAACATGACTGTATAATTTATAGACTTATTCTTCAGGAAATATTACTAGGGTGTTCAAAGTAAAGAAATAGGGACATGGGTTACAAAAGGGGGAGATGAGAGTTGAATGTAAAGTTGCAATAGGACAACCTGAAGTGAGAAGAGTTAGGAGGTCAAGGCTTGTGTTAAGGCTTTATGCTGTGAGGATGAGGAGAGAATTGATCTGGCACAGAACAAGGTCCACTGTTGGGTTATTGTGAACACGGTAATGATCCTTACGGTTCAATACATGGAGAATAATCTTTGGTTACCTGAGCGAATATCAGCTTCACAAGAAGGATTAAGCTACATGGAGTAATTTAGTTAGGATCCAAATCCTTGAATGCGAGAGAAGGCCAGCTTCGTAAATGCCACGTATATTTTATTAGTATAGTACTTTATGACACTTTGTAAAGTGCATATATTTTACAGCTCAGAATGAAAGCCTGATTGCAGTGGTGAATTAAGAACGAGGAATTACAATTTTAAGTAACATCACACATTTCCACGCCACGTAACATTCGTTTGATGCATTAACCTTCTGTCAAGAAATGATCTAGCGGTGGATATTTAGCGCTTGCGCAGATGAGTCTCTCTAGCACATACTCAGGTTAAGTACACTTTGTAGAAGATTTTGTGTTCCCAGGAATTATTTTTGACATGCATATATTGTTATTCACAAAAAATATTTAGAATAAAACGATTGACTCTATCAGGGTTAATGATATCAATGAGAATCCATTTTCTAATTACTGATTGTGATCAGCTGGCACATCGGTATCCAATTTATTTTTTAATTCGTTTAGTGGGGGGTGGAGTCCAACTGGGTCCAATCGGCACGGCGGCCACTGATTGGCCTATTGTAGCCTGCCCAGGGTGATCATGATGATGGAGAATTTGGTGGAATGAAGATTGGCAGGGGAAAGTGAATTACTCGGAGATAACCCGCCTCAGCGCCACTTTGTCCATCACAAATCCCACTTGACCAGACCCCGGGATCGAACCCGGGCCGCCGCGGTGGGAAACCAGCGACTAACCGCTTGAGCTATGGCGCGGCCTCAGTGGTATTCATACAAAACGAACTTGAGTGGGATGTCCGTATTGTTCAACACTTGTTCAAAATTTAATTTACACAGGTTTTCATGATTATGCAGTACAAGTACAGTACAACTTATCTGCGAAGCAGCAATTAATGTGTGCTTTATGAATGCTGTGGTCTGTTGACTCAGAGCAACGTGTACTTACGTGCAAAGCAGCACTTCTCTCTGCGCATCGCGTACACTGTAAAACACACCAAGACGAGCAGGAGTAGCAGACTGCCTGCGGCCAAACTCAGCAGGGTCGCCATGGAAACCGGCTCTGCAAAGAAACAAAGCGGTTCACATGGAATTTCCAAAATGGACAGGCCGGCAAAGGGCGAAACAACTTTTCCATCTTTCTTTCTTTCCTCCATGTACAGGAAACTTGCACAGATGGAGGTGTTGGAAAGCAAGGTCCTGGAGAGTATATTCAGCCCTAAAATGGAGAAGAAGCCGGACACGGTAGCCGAACGGTCTAAGGCATGTACTGTCTTCGTTCGCTTGGAAATCGGGATCGTGGGTTCGAATCTAACTCAGGGCATGAATGTTTAGTTTGTGTGTGTGCGTTTTTCTGTGTTTGCGTACAGGTAGAGGCCTTCCGACGAGCTGATCACCCGCCCAAGGAGTCCTACCGAATGTCTAAGATCTAGATAAACCGAACGGAGAAGTTCATGGAGGTAGGCCTAGGCCCACTGTGGCTGTAGTGTCAAGGAAATGAAATGAAAACGGAGAAGAAAAATAACAGAAGTTATAGCTTATAATTAGTGTTTTTTACAAAATATTATTAGAATGAACTAATGGACGGGGAATGTAGCAGGCATGGGATAGACGAGAAATGAATAAAAATTCTAGCCGGAAAGTTTGAAAAATGAGACCACTTAGAAGAGAGAGATGTAGGTCGGAGGAGAACACTATCGTTCAGCTATACCACAACTTCTCCGTACTCATATGTCCTATGTCACCAGGCACTGACCACTCAACGGATATCGACTTACGTGTCTACATTAAACTTTGTTGGGCGAAGTTAGTTTTGATCTGGATCAGTCTAATATAATCCACACTTTACCTGAATCTCAAGGAGCCGAGGTAGTGCAGTCGATCTATCTGCTGGCTACGGGCCGGATGACTGAGGGGTTGGAGTTCGAGTCCAGGTAGACTTTTCTTCTACAAATTGTCCAGACCGGCTCTGTGGCCCACCCAACTTCCTATCCAATGGGTACGGGGGGCTCCTTTCGCGGGGGTAAAGCGGCCGGGGTGTGAATCTGACCACTCACCTCCAGCTAGTGCTGAGGTCAAGAAAATTTGGATCTATACATCCACTTTTCCACATGCCTTCATGACTTAGTGGTTAATTCGTTGAGCATAGGGACAACTTTACCTTTTTACTTGAATTTGAAAAAGATATTTATAATTTTTCTTGGAAGTTGATCATGGCACCACAAATTGACTAACAAAGTAAACTGCGTGGTTTGATCCGAGAGCGAACTACACCGACCGAGCGACCGCGGCTTGTCGGCGAAATTAGCGCCAACTTTAGCGGATTGAGGGTGTCACGTGGTCACCGCAACGAATCCCCACGCCCGTTAATTTCAGTTTTCTAGACCGAAGACGCTATTTCCGTAAAATAGCTCCTCAATTATCCTCACGAGGCTGAGTGGGCCTCGTTTCAGACCCACTACTTTTCAGAAAATCTGGCGGTGCCCGAGAATCGAACCCGGGACTTTTGGATCTGTAGCCAGGAACTCTGACCACTAGACCACAGAGGCGGGCCACAAATTGACAGACAACATTAAATATATATCTCTTTAAGATCAGCAACTTGAAGTTGAAACTCTTTTCAATATCGTACATAATCGAATTTGCAAGAGGAAAATAAATCACCTACACGAAGTGCAATCAGCTTTGTAACTGTACATCTAATTAATTTCATGGGGATAATTTATTCTTGAGAAGGTAATAATTACTATGCTATTAATGAAATCCCAACATTTTATGGAAAGTTTCTTTCCATGTTCATAACAGCTCACCGCTGATCTCTACAAGGCTACAGATAGAACTACCTCCATGAGGCGGGTTCCATCTTGAGAAGCTGATAATTGCTTTAATGTTCAAGAAGTTCTCCGTCTTCTACAGAATCTTATTCTGAGACGGAAGAAACGAGTCCACAATCGACACTCTTAAGATCTATTTAAATATTATCAAACCATTGTTTTTCTTTCAGGTTCTCCTACTAAAATTGTCTTTGCATTTCTGGTCTCTCCCATGCCCCCTACACACTCTCAATTCATGTTTTTATGATTCCTTGTTTGGTATACCTGATAATATTGGGTGAAGGCTATGAACTGCGAAGATAACGTGTGTACTGGAACTTGTGGTACACATTTCAACAATTATGTTCAATGTTATGTGACAATGAGAAACTTGCTCTAGGCCTGTTTATGTTGATACACCTATCCTGAAAATGGAAGCAGTCGTGCGCTAACACATAGGAGATTCGATGCCCATTTCTGCTCTTGCATAGTGGAGACTCATCGACTCTTTCAAACACTGCAAAACAAAAGTTCGTGCTGTTACGCATGCCATAGGGACCTGCATGGAGGTGTGGGCTCCATAAAGTGAATATTCTCTATCACCCCTGTTCCATGTTTTCATGTGTTCACGTTACATTCTGTGAAAGGCACCTTATAAAGACATTCGTTACCACAGCATTAGTATCTTGCCTAAACTATAGTCGTTATGTTTCACACAGCACTTCTCTTGCATGCTAACACTTTCTTATATCAAAAAGTATTAAAAGCGAGTAAAGACTACAGCGGAAGAAAACGAAGAAAGAAGATAAGACGTTGAGATCCTCACTTGGATGACTATGAACAATCTTTTATGAAGTGTGACACCGTGTAGTCTGGTATATTTCTACGGACGTTTCAGAAGCATATGCTCTCTCCATCTTCAGGGCATAAGCGCAAGTTTAGTTTGGAAATAATAGTATTATTGTAAGGAAGGAGACCAGGGTTGGGCAATGGGTGACCAGTAGGAGATAACAATAAAAAGTGACGGATAAGAGAAAGGGCAGCTGCAGGGTAACGGTGAAAGAGGGATGAGGCGGCGGCAGCTCATGCCTGCGCAACATCAGTAACGCCCTACCAGACCACACAGTGTCACGTCCTAGAGACAGTAATCTTCAAGAGAGAAGTCTTGAATTAATATTAGTGGCTATTTCAAATTATGGACCTGAGGTCCACTCAGCTTCTAACAGAAATGAGTACCAGGAATCTTCCTGGGGGGTAAAGAGCGGCCGGCGCGCAAGGCTGATAGCCTTACTGCCATCTGTGAGTCGACTGCCTAGAGAAAATGTGGGAGCATCGACGTCTCACAACCTTATGGGCCTTGGCGGCCGGTTACAGGGATAGCTTACTTTTACCATTTCAATACTTTGCCGAACAGCAGTTTACTGTTGGCCTTCCAGTCGCCATAACAATGCTTGGCTTGATCGATGGCCATATTTTAATTCTATATTACTGGTATTTACATTTTAGGAAGTGCAGTCTACCCTTTCGCCATAACATATTACAGAACGCAATCATCACCACACCATGAAACGGAATCATCATTACTGTGAAACGGAAACATCACTACATTATGAAACGCAATCATAGCTACACTATGAAACGGAAACATCACTACATTATGAAATGCAATCGTAGCTACACTATAAACGGAAACATCACTACATTATGAAATGCAATCGTAGCTACACTATAAACGGAAACATCACTACATTATGAAATGCAATCGTAGCTACACTATGAAACGGAAACATCACTATACTATGAAATGCAATCATAGCTACACTATAAACGGAAATATCACTACATTATGAAGTGCAATCACACTACACTATGAAACGGACTCATCATTACTGTGAAACGGAAACATCACTATACTATGAAATGCAATCATAGCTACGCTATAAAACGGACTCATCATTACTGTGAAACGGAAACATCACTATACTATGAAATGCAATCATAGCTACGCTATAAAACGGACTCATCATTACTGTGAAACGGAAACATCACTATACTATGAAGTGCAATCATAGCTACACTATAAACGGAAACATCACTACACTATGAAATGCAATCACACTACACTATGAAACGGAATCATCATTACTGTGAAACGGAAACATCACTATACTATGAAATACAATCGTAGCTACACTATAAACGGAAACATCACTACATTATGAAATGCAATCGTAGCTACACTATAAACGGAAACATCACTACACTATGAAATGCAATCATAGCTACACTATAAACGGAAACATCACTACATTATGAAGCGCAATCATAGCTACATTATGGAACGGAATCATCACTACGGTGGAAAGGAAGCATCGCTATACTATGCAACTGAGTCTTCATTACACTAAGGAACTAAATCTCCACTATACTATCAAATGATCATCACTATATAATGAAATGCGATAATTACTACACAGCGGAACGCAATCATCGAGACACTGCAAGGTGCACTGCATCGCCGCCGGGCAGGCTCGTGTAGCTGCAACTGTAAACTTGAATTCTGAAGTACCCGTTTCGAACCTCGACTATCCTGATTGAGGCTTCCTCAGTTTGTCAAGGCAGATGCGGGAATAATACATTGAAAAGACCAAGGGCCTCCTCTATGACTGCCTACTCCATATTTATGATAATTTTCTCATCGGACAATACAAAATTTCTGCAGATAAATATTTTATGAACAAATCGATGTTAATAACAACTGACTTTGATGTGGTGTGTGGTAGCTGCTAGATTTTAACACCACTGGTACTGCTAATGGATGTTTTTAAATACTTTGCCGTACATGCACAGTTAACATTTGAAGGGTCAATGAGTTTTCAAGTATCCTGAACAGACTAGGGCATTTAGCGAGATCGTCGTGTTTTTTTTTCCATTTTCACAAACTTTATTTTAATAACAAGATTTTCGTGCATATCATAACACATCGTTCCATCAATGTCGCTCGCTAGCGTTTTTCGCAGTTCCATTTTTGTATTACATTGATGACAGGTAGTTAAAATAATATAGATTGATTGACTAAATTAATGCGCTCTTCGTTTACTGTATAGCGAAACAGAACGCCTCACAGTGATGATCGGTATAAACCGAACAGGCAGAGGGTTAGGTTATTGGTAAAATGCACTCTTTTTACCATTGAGGTATCAAGCTCGAATTTAGATTATTGCTAGGTATCCTGATTTCCTTTGTTTTC